TCCCCACACAGTGATATGATTCGCATTATTTTTTTTTTATCCAATGTCACCAGGGGGGCTCCGTAAGAACAGTAGGCGGAGAGGATTTTTTTTTCAGGCCTCGTGCCGCCCCCCACGTGACACGCCCGCTTCGCCCATGCCCAAAAGCGCTACTGATTATACATTTTGAAAGGAATCTCTGGTCCATATCCATAATTGTTCATTAAAAATTCTTACTCAACTTTACCCTCCGTGTGTCGGCATTTGGGTCAGCAAAAAAATAAAGTACAATTTTCTTCTCCCTTTATTCATGCAAAACAACAAAGTTTGTATGGTTTTCATTGACACCGTGAGTGGTGTTCATTCTGCTCTATGGTCATTTTTAAGAACATTGCTAATTCTGTCAAGTTATAGCTGAAATCTGTCACAGTCGGTCCATAATGCAATGCTGTTTGTCATTTGGTGTTCAATGTACATTCAATTAAAAAAAACAACAACAACAAAAAACATAATGGGAAGACTGATAAGATGTATATTGTAGTTTATTTTTTTAACTCATGAATTAATATATCTAAAATTCTATTATAGTACCCCTCGTTTATTATACAAGGAATGTTACATACCAGACTAAAAGACTAAAATAAATTTCCCAGAATGGCCTTCATCATATCAATTCCATATAAATCAATTACAGATTATACATGTCATGAAATTAATGAATGAAACACGACTAAGCAGGAAGTACATATATAAAACCATGTAATGGAAAAACGTTCCCCTATTTTAAGTATTTTAATCTTCTTTTTTATTGCTATTGAGTCCATTTAGAGTAGAAATCTACAATTAGAATATTTGTGTGTATTTGGAAAATAATTGGGTTAAACAACAACATATACTGTTTCTCCATGTCCTCTAGAGCAACACACAGTGATTTCTGATCTGATGCCACCATCAGCAGCACAAAATTGTGTTACAAATCACTGTTGGAAAATCAATCTATTATATGATTTATTTTACAGACTTGTCTTAAAGTCCAATTTTTTGTTGATGCCTCCATCCATCCATCCTGTCTTCATCCCTACGCGGATTTTGTCATATCACCTGACTTTCTGATTGTTGATTCCGACTTAACAGCATTGTCGCTGCTTCTTGACTTGAGTATAGCTTTCAACACCTCTTAGCTGCTTGGAGAGGCATATTGGTATCCAGGAGATGGTGGTTTCGTTCATACTTATCAAACTAAACTTAGTTACAATAATACAGTCTCTGAAATAAAGTTTGGTGTACCCCAGGGATCTGTCCTTGGCCCAGGGCTAATTTATATCTATATGCCTACCCATGGCAACATTATTTGCAAATACTGGCTCAATTTACATTGCTATGCTGATGACACTCTACTATGTATCTGTAAAGTTCTCCCAACTATTAAATTTAGATGCATGTCTGTCAGAAATTTAAAAATATATGTGTATGAACATTCTGCTGTTAAATATAATAATAATTTAAATTAATAAAATAGTTATTAGCTGTTAAACCAGCCACTTTGCTTGAGAATTTGAGTGTTAACGATGATGGCTGTATTATTTCTAAAAAGTCAACCAAAACATAAATGACAGCATTACTAATAAAAGTAAAATAACTTTCACTTCATTACAGCTTACCCTGGAACTTAGTCAGGTCCATCACCTTTTTAAACTTTTTTTTTCTTTGGTAAGACATTGCTGATGAAACGTTTTTCATACCAGTGGGGTTGCTAACTAGTGGCTATTGATAAGGCTAGTGAAACCAGTTTAACAGTGATTGTGGCTGGACTACTGAGCAGGCCATGACATTCAGATGAAGCTGCCTATTCAAGCCATTTTACAGCAGTTCACGGTTCAGTTTTGGCCAGGTTTAGAGAACAGAGGCACCTGTCAAGAGGGCTATGTAGATGTATTAATAATGGCATAGCTTGATACCCACTGTAGGGCCTAATAATAGGTCAAAACATTATTTAACATTATTTCTAGGCTTCCATAAAAATATATATATTACCCACTTTTTAGCACTGTGTCTGCGGACCGCCTTACTGCGTTGACCTGGGTTGGACCTTTATGCAATAAGGTTGGGGACTCATTGTACCCCCAAAGATTTGAGTGTAGTCGGGCTCTCCTGCATCCTCAGGCCAGATGAACTTAAACTTCCTCAGCAGCATCACTGGGATGAGGAAGAGCTCCATACGGGCCAGACCCTCTCCAAGACACATACGAATACCTGAGACATGAAAAAGACCTCAAAGTCATCTACAGCACTTTTGTTAAACCCATCCTATCTGTACATGCAGGTGTGATTCATTGAGGCCCATGCTGCTTTTTTTTTGCTCTCATACCTGTGGAGAAAGGCATGAAGGCCTCTGGTTTAACAAACTCTCCCTGGTCATTTAGGAAGTTTTCAGGGTTGAATTCATGAGGGTATTTCCATTGTCCCTCCTCACTCAGTACAGACTTCATATTAGGGATGACCAGCGTACCCTGACGAGAAAATGAGGCAAAAAAGAAAGGGCATAGCGGAAGGCAGGAAACATTCGTAAGAGGTTAAGATTTACTTATGCTACCCAAGTAAAGGTCATGTTTGTGCCATTACTTAATAGGAATGAGCAAGTACACATTTCTTACTTTGGGAATGGAATATCCCATCAGCTCTGTGTCTACAACCGTAGCGTGGAAGACGTTGAGTGGAACGATGTTGGCTACCCTCTGAACTTCATGGATCACTGCCTGGATGAAGAGAGATTTAAACAAACATGTTGTGAAACTTAATCTGATTTAGGGCAGAAGAAAAATAATGCAGACTCTCAGAAGCACAAAATAGCAGAACAAACTGCAATTAGGGAAAGCTGCCGCATAAAGTGATAAATGAGGGCTTCTCGCCTAAGCAGATTGTAAATTGATTCTCTCACTAGATTTACTGTTTGATTTTTACACTTTGGTGTATGGTTGCCTACCTTTAACAAACGTCTGTTATGCTCTAAGAAATATGGTACTTACAGATGCATGTAAATGAAAGTGAAATTATTATGAGAAACCTGTGTTATACCTTACCTGCATGTAATGCATCTGATGTCTGTCTTCAAAACTGGCCCGATCCTTCCCTTCTAACACCCTGTCTATCTCCTCTTGACAGCGCTCTGAGAGATAGCGCAGAGAGGGGAAGGGGGGGCAGAGGAATATGATACTGCTCACATCACATTGCTTCCGTTACAAAGAAAAAAACAAAAGTCAGATGTAATGATAAACTGTGTGAGAACAGAGCAACAAAAAGGAGTCAAATCAGCAGCTGCAGCAGAGGGGAAGCTGCTGATGTGTCTTCAGCCGAGGAAGGACAGAGCTCCATGTACTCTAACTTGAGTAAACTACTCTGGCACTCTCTCCTTTACAGCCTGTGTATAAAGAGGTAAATTGTGGAATAATAGATGGTGTGAATTACCATTACCATTAGCTTGTGGTTGCATGGCTTACTGGCACATCTAAATTGAGGTAATCCTTCATTAATGTTATTGAGTATGCTTTTTTACACTGTGTCCACTGTAAGTAAGGTCCAAATTACATGGAGAGATGGAATACTAAATCCTTGGTGGGAAACATCAACCTGCCTGAAAATGTGCCTTTTTGCTAAATCAGACATATTTTCATCATACAGATGTCATTTGTATTTTTGTAGTTTTCCTCCTTGTGTTGCTTTACTTCCTGTCTTTGTCTGTTTTCCCTCCAGTCTGATTGTTTGTCCCACCCTAATTACCTTCACCTGTGTCTCATTAGCTTCCCTCAGTATATATTGCCTGTGTTTCATTCCCCCTGCGCCAGTTCCTTGTTGTACCTTGGTGTGGTCATGTCCAGCTTCCAGAGTTCCGCGTTTTCCGCGTTTTCCATGGTTTTGGGATTTCTGCCTCAGCCTTTTTTCCAATGGGATTTGTTTGCTTGTGTGGACTGACCTCCTGTGTATTGAACCTAATCTTTTGGTTAGTAGAGTCTGATTCTCATACCTTTATCCTGCTTCTACCTCTCTTGCATTTGGGTCCTATTTCCTGTGAATTCTCCGGGCATAACAACTGATGTGTTTTTTGCTGATACATAAATAAAGTAAACAAGATAAGGAAACAGAAACAGTAGGTGGAATGGTGTAAAGAACATTAATTGAATGATGGATTGGTGGGTCCACATTTGAACTAAACCTAAGTGCAGAACACAGACCAGGAGGCAGATGAATAACAGATTTACTGTGAGGTACTCCAATAAAATGGGATGGCTGGTGACGGCAGACAGAAGTGAGGAATAGAGGAGGAATAGAGAATGGCAAGACAACGTGGCCAACGGAGGAAGCAAAGGAGAATGGGTTAGCAGGCAGGCAGGCAGGCAGGCAGACAGGCCTGGATCCCAAGTCACAGAAGACAACAAAGTATTAATGCAAGTAGCTGGAACACAGGAGAATCTCCATGATCCCAATACAAACTGAGCCTGAGAGTTGCTACCACGGTGGCAGAACCCACAATCTGGCGATGAGTGGGAGGAAAGCTGGGGTTTATAAGCTGCAGTTAGATGAGCTGATTGCAGGCAGACGTACAGGATAATCGGAGCCAGGAACCAGGAGAGCGAGGAAGGGAGACCACGTCGAGACCACGTCCACACCACACAAACACAGAGACAGGGGAAATAACCACTATGGCAGAGGGTGCTAAAATATGCCTTTACTGCAGGAATACCAGGGTACCTGAATTATACTATCGTCAGTAAAAAAGTCAGGTGTATTCCTAGTTGGAGTTGGGCTATTCCTATAGGTCTTGTCAACGACAGGCCTTTTTCTCAGCAAACATTTTGACATTTCTTCCTTTTTAAAAAAAAAAATGGAATTCTCTGGAACGAAAAACTGATGGATGTGACAATGATAAATGCCAATGACAGAAAAGTAATAACCCATATTTACATGTGCATGCATACCTTGTATGTGTGGCTTGGTTGTCAGGTAGAGGAAAGCAGTAAGCAGGGTGTTGGAGGTCGTGTCAGTCCCAGCAAAGTGAAGATCTAGAATGTACCTAATCAGCTGATCTTCTGAGAATGAAGAACCATCATTGGATCTCTAAAAAGAGGAGAATAATTGTTTTAAGACAAGCACTATGATAGATTCATCAGGATAGGAAAATCTCTGTGACCTGTCGAGGTTTTTAAATGTAAACATAGAACAAATCAAAGAAAAATGGGAGGAAAGGGTGAAGGGGATGGACACCACCTAGCCTCACGGTCAAGCAAGACCATCTGAGTCCCTCTTTGCATCTGTCTCAACATCGCAGTAAACACTGAGGTAGACATGGAGAAGTTAAACACCGGCTATGCTCCTGGTCACATAGGCCTTCTCTGCCAAGCATGTTGCTCGCCAACGTACAGGTGGTTGCTTTTTGCTATGGTAATGCAGAGGTACTTCATTTTGGAATAGAGAAAACAAAGTATCTATTGTGGCCAGATGTGTATGGTTATGTATGATAATAAGGAAGGGAATGGAATTTAGTTTTTCATACAGAGAAAAGATTTATTGAGGACAGGTCAAATCTCAAGTCACTGTGTGTGTGACTTGAGTCCAAGTCTCAAACTTGAATCCCCATCTCTGCTTCCATCAACATACTGACTGCGCCACATGAGGAATAAACCCTCTGGATCACTGCTATGTCATTCAAAAACAACTATAGAATCGGTGCCCTGTTTTGGGAAAAGAAACCACGCAGCCATCTTGTTAAGGTCAAAAAAAACTATGGCAAATGCCTCCAGCAACACATTAGGTCAGGAAATGGACAGATCAATCAGAGGCTGCCAAGCGCTCTGCACTACATGACGCAATCTGGAGCATGTTACAGGACACACCATCAATGTCAAGGACATCAGTGGATTCACTGGGTCTCTGGTGGATTTATTTATCATTATACAACACAATGATAAATAATATCATTATATATTATTATTTATAATATATAACCTAATGTAACAACCTTGTACAACAAAATGAAAGTTTGCAGTCTCTTCATACTACACAAACAATATATAAGAGATTTATATACTTATATACATATATCTATATACCCAGGCAATAATTTAACAGTCAGTTATCTTTTGAATTTGCGTCTGGGGGAATAAACAGCAACAAAGAGTCAAGATAATATGGTTTTCATCTTCACATAAAAAGTTCAAAAAACATTGTCCATCCACTTTGACAGTGTTTGAACACTAAGCATCACAGATGTCCACTTCCTCCCGTTCTACGCTCATGTCCTGAGCAACTATGCCCAAAACTACAGTACCCATCCAGAAACAATGGATTACCAGAACCCTCTGGGGTGCCAGAAACTCACACTGCAGCCCACAAATTAGGGTTGCTGTCTGGCAAAATGAACAATTTTAAAGCAGCAGCATACAATGGATAGCAGTAAGGGGGGCAAAAAGGGACAACAATTCTAGGAGGGCAATCCCAGAGGCATGTAACCAGGTCTAAGAACTATGACAGATGATAAGCCCAACCCCTCCTCCTTGTGTCGTTCTTATGTGTCTCTAACAGGTGAGCTAAACAACTTTATGCTTGTTTGAGGCCATCAGCTGCCAACAAGCACAAAGAGAGCAGAGGTTACATAATGGGAGGGGGCACATTCCACATCTATCACTCTTTTTGAGCAAAATGTCAGGATTGCTTTCAAGCATATGTTCACAATGATATTTAACCTGTCCCTTGGCTCAGTCATACCCACATGCTTCCACAATCATTCCTGTGCCCAAGAAGGAATGGGTGGGCAGACACACACGTATTAAACAATGTACTATATATACACAAAAACGGGCATTTGGTACTGACTTGTCTCTTTTAACCCCCAATATACATACACACACACACAAACCTTTTCTATTTCATCCAGATAGCAGTCAACAAAGTCTCGAGGCTCTCCAGTGACTTTGGTCTTCTTATGCTCGGCCACCAAGCCATGCATAAGATTCTGACAAGTCTGAAAAACATAAAGGAAGGCTCAGATTACAGGAGTTCAAATCAGATTTTATTATGCACATAAGGAGAAACTTTACACACTCTCTATTCCCAAACATGCACAGATTTAAAAATAATGGTGCATCACACACTACATGACATTATTAAGATTTTTGTACCAGAGGGAGCAATGCCCTGAAAAGTTGCAGTTCACATTCATGTCTGTCTAGACTCATATAATACATAGACCTAGACTTTGAAGGAACTACATAAAACGTATAAAGTGTATTTTGTTGGCTAAATGGAAGCTATCACTATAATGATGGAACATGATGTATGATTTTAGTGAATAGATGTTTTTGAACATCCTTAATAAAGAATAGTTGTACTGGTTAAACAGGTGTGTCTGTGAGCAGGTTGGGAGGTTTAAAAGTGGATCTGTAAACCCCTCACATTCAGGGCTCGAAATTACTGTCCCGAATTCTACTTTGAACTGTCCCAGACAACCATTGTCCCAAATTGAAGTTTTTTTTTTCGTTCTACATAATGAACATAGTTTAAGAACTTTGTTTCAGTAACTTGCATCACTTCACTGACTCACTCTGGTCGGCCATGGACTAGTTGTTCCCTGCGCTTATATCTTTATAAAAAATTTAAACCAGCCTGGGTGATTGGCTACAATGTGTGTTTATTATTCTTTTACTCATTGGTTGAGTTAGTGTCTTGCTTTTTTCAGCTTCAATAAATGCATTACTGCAGACTGCAGCGCAAATGCAACCTATTCTTTCCACTGTCGAAGTGCATATGTGTTGGTTGTCTCTTGCATGTTTAGTCCTCAATTTAATATTGTTTGTTAAATTCAGGCCTTTTTCATAACTTATTATACATATTTACAGTAAATTTCTTGGCCCAAAGAACATACCTCATAATTCTTAATGGCCTTGTTGAAGGGCAGCGGCAGGTTACGAACCAAGGGAAAGGAGTCATACAGCTGTAAAAAAGATAAATCATTAGTTTATTTGAGTCCAAATGTGCAAATTCTGCTTCCTAGCACTAACTGCTCTAAACAGATGACTTTATTAGACATTTTATTTTATTAGACACATTCTAGCTGCACAGCTAAAACTCTAATGTATGGATGGCAATGCCGGCTGGTTTGTCAGTCCACCACCTCGTACCTTTGGCGATCCTGACTTTTCTAGTCAGGATCGCCACCAGGAAGTCAGAATGTTAATTTGTCATTCATTATCAAATAACCACAAAAGTAATGGTATTACCATCAGCCACAACTGTACTTTTAGTTTACTGCCAATTAACAAACCTTTGCATGCCAACATACTAAACTAAGATGATGAACATAGTCAACATTACAGCTGCTAAAATTCTGCATATTAGTATTGTCATTGTGATCAAGTTAGCACTGCTGTGCCCAAGTTCAGCCTCACAGAGCCATGAGTGTAGCTTTAGACTCCAGGGGCCTCATGTATGAAAGACTGCAGAGGTTTCATACTGAGTGTGATTGAGGTGCTGATCACTGAGGTGGAGGACATAAGAAATATTTTATTTGGTGGTTTGTTCTCGCTTTCTGTGCATCATAGATGTCTGTGCGCCTCAGCTACTGTCCAGTTTTAGATGTGTGTTAACATCTCCATGTCCCGTAAACAGATAAAATTGCTGTTTTCCCTGCCGATCTTGATGTTAGCACAGTGAGTGAATAGCATTTTTCTTCCGGTTTTGGCCTTTCTTACACCCAACCATGTGTGTGAAAAAAATTCCCTAGCTTTGGAATGTTACCTCAGAAACATGCTTTGACTTACCATAACCCAGGGTCCATTGACTAACTTGGCATTCTCAGTGAAGCACTGAATAACCACTTTGATGAAATCGTCATCGTACTCGTAGCGTCTATCAAACAAGACCTGGCAGATGATGTTGGAGGACGCATTATGGAACATAACTTGAGGACTCATGCTTTTGCCTGTAAAAGACAAAGTGTAGACTTAAGTATAACAAAACATTGTACAAGAATAAAAAAAAGGAACATTAAACATTAAAGCTACGGTGTGTGACTTCTACAGATAAATGAATGTCTGTTACTTTCAAGCCCTTGGCAAACACAATGCTGATTAAGCCAATCACTACCAGGCAAATCTTTCTGCATTTTGCAGTAAACAAGTTTTTAAATCTGGAGTCTGAGGTGAACCAGCACTGAAGAACCAATATTAATGCCAGCATTTTAAACTCAAAAGGGCGCATCTAGGCTACTCACAAATGAAAGAAGCCTAGTCCATCTTGAAAGTGATGAGCAATTAGCTTGCCAACCCCTGGCAACAAGCCAAAAAGTCAGTATAACATAATTCACCCGTTCAACTCCATCCTATGATTACTCAACGGAGCTACCATCAAACTTGACAGCAGTGTACTGGCCGGATCAGGGGAGGTAAAAAAACAGGCAAAGAGTGTGTGTGGAGCTGAGGCTGAACGAAGCCTGGTTACTGAAAACAGCCGACTGTGATGGCATCCACCTCTCATTCAAAGCGGCAACCCTCTTAATTATGCATGACTTAATATAATTCAAACGGGCGAGTTATATAAACACTCACCCCCTGTACAGTTGTCAAGAACTGGGAAATTAACTATAGAGACCAAAAATGTTTTTTGTACCACACTGTATAGATATGTATTTTTGTTGTATAGTTGGGCATTTTAATAGAGGTTAATGTGTTTCTGGAGCCAGCCTCAAATGGATGTCCGAGGAACTGCAATTTTTGGCACTTCCACAGTCACAGAAGTTGTTGCCTCAAAGTGAGTATTTAGGACTCATTCAATGTTAGACTGTTAGTTGAACTGTGTGTTTGTATTGAGTGCTGACTGTGTAACACACTGTGGTGGATTTCAGACTGTTATGTGTTTTGTATTTTTGTAATTACCCTTACTGCCAAAGGAGGGAGATTCTGCACTGCAGGTTTAATATAGCACAATGAAAAATGTGGCAGCACAAGCTCATGGCCTCTTTAAAAGGAATTTACAATATATTATTAATATTAAAATATTGTTGTCCCCCCGACAGATGACATACCAATGCTTTTTTCCAGTGTATCAATGGTGTATTTTAGCTCTCGATGAATCCTGTCCTCCATGGAATTCTTCCCCATACCAAAGTTCCTTAAGGTCATCAGGGCAAAGCGACGATGGTCCTTCCATCTGGGGGCCAATAATCTTTGCATGAATCACTCCTGCAACAGGATTTAAATTGACACAAATTTAAAATTGTCTCAAAATATCAGTCTGATGTGATCATTGCTGTTCTATTCCAGAGCATATCTACTTTCATCCTGTTTTGTTATTTTACTCTCCACAATACTGTTAATGTTTTTCTTTGTATTCAAAAGCAGAATACTAGAAATTCTCCAAGTCATTGGTGCATCACTTGAAGCAAACTTAAAATTATTAGCTGGATCTGGGCCCTCTCTTGTCAAACTGATAATCTTGTCTCCAAACCATTTTAAATTCAGCATGGGGTCCGGTAGGGCTGCTCAGTCAGTATGCTATTTTAAATTTTTGGCACTGAATCATTAATGTGCTCAATTCATACCAGCAATTACATCTATGGTGTAAATCTTCATAGTTATGGTTTTTAATTAAAGATGTGTCCAGATGTGAGGGTAAGGGATTATTCTCAATATAAACAGACCAGATTCTTCCACACCTCTACAGTCATTTATTTGGCATGAAGCCTACATGTACAACATTAATTCAAATGAAAGTGAGGCAATCCTTCTTTATACCCCTACCTTTAAATCTGGCTGTATGGACACCCTCTTTGGAAACCAAATGTAATGAAGCACTTTGGGGTTAATCTAATTTCCACTATCACATTTTTAAGGCTTAATGGCCCTATAATACATTATAATGACATAAAGATGGGTGCCATTACCTTTGCTTCTGTTTGAGTTAGGGTGATGTTTGCCTAGGTGTCATACTGTATCCTCTAAACCCCTCTCTTTGTATTTGTTATCTTCTGAGAAAGAAGAAGCCCAGGATAACCTAAAATAAATTCATTATTCCCAGGTGTATTGGGGGGTCCTAGGTGTCCCAGATATGTTTCAGTATTATCTTACCTATGATGTCAAGTATCCACTGTATTTGGGCAAATGAGGTAATGTCATGGTCACTCCTGTACTCGTGCATTTCCCCTTGTTTCCTTGTGCCCTAAACTACCTTCCTATTTTGATAATGGAGTTGGTAAGGGCTGGGTTCATGAAGTCATGCCTAGCAGGCGACAGTGTACGTAGACTGCTTCATTTGTTACATTCAATAGATATTGAATTATCATGTGATGCAGAGAGACCCTTTCATAGAGTAGAGTGGCACTTATTATCAATTAGACTGGAAAAAATTTATTATAAAAATGATGAAATCCAGGTTTTGTATTCCAGAAAAAAACCCTTCTAACTGTTTCTGTTTTCAATGACTTCCCAGATTGTTCTGTGTATCAAACCATCTAGAGCAGCCAGGTTAAGGAATTACATTTAGATGTTATGGTTTTAAAGGGAGACGATTATCAGTTATGGCACTACCTCCTCCAGTAAACTGAAGGGTTTATTGTGTGAACATACATATCCTCTATGTAAACTCATAAACGGCCTTTGC